TATGTAAATGAACATGTATATAAAGAACTTGATTTCGACCTAATGTAAAAGTAACTTGATAACAAGTTAATTAGTTTCGACTAAATAAAACTAAATAAATAAAATAGAAATATTTTATTTAAAACTTTTATCTTCTTTAACCAAAATTATTCGCTAATACCAAAATCAATTCATTGATCCCCTATTCATTCTGATACACGCAAAACAAAAATAATTGTTATCACCAATTAAAATACGCTCTCCCAAATTTAATCGGTGACAATATTGTTTAACTAGTATATATTGAAGATAATTATTATTTATCAGCAGAACCTTTCTATAATTTTGTTCTGTATATATTGAAGTTCTATTGTTATTTACCAAATATATGGGACCTTTCTGTATATTTTGTTCTGTATATATTGAAGATCAATTATTATTTATCAAATATGCAGAACCTTTCTGTATATTTTGTTATGTATGTCTGGGTTCTGTATATATTGAAGATCAATTATTATTTATCAAATATACAGAACCTTTCTGTATATTTTGTTTGGTATGTCTGGGTTCTGTATATATTGAAGATCAATTATTATTTATCAAATATGCAGAACCTTTCTGTATATTTTGTTCTGTATGTCTGGGTTCTGTATATATTGAAGATCAATTATTATTTATCAAATATGCAGAACGTATACTTTGTTCTGTATGTCTGGGTTCTGTATATATTGAAGATCAATTATTATTTATCAAATATGCAGAACGTATACTTTGTTCTGTATTTCTGGGTTCTGTATATATTGAAGGTCAATTATTATTTGCCAAATATGCAGAACCTTTCTGTATATTTTGTTCTGTATGTCTGGGTTCTGTATATTTTGTTCTGTGTGCCTGGTTCAGTATATATTTAGATCAATTATTATTTATCATATATATAGAATTAATTATACAGAATTTTAATCAGATTACCTACAATGATTCAAAGCATATTAATTAAACTAGTGCTACTCATCAATTTATATATAATTTTTGTTAGTATGCCTGGTCTTGTTATTTCAAACTTGCATGTAGCAAAATTTGCCTAGTATTAATAATTATAAAAAAAAGATTAGTATTTAATAACAAATATTTAATAATTAATATGTTAATAATTTCCATTAAGATCACTAATGGATGAGAATTCATGAGCTGTAAATTCTAATTAATAATCTATTGATGTAAATAGCATTTGGATGAATTATTGCAGTCATAGTTTTAATGAACATAAATATTTTTTTAATTAATTTATGTTTTCCAATTTGTTCTCGAGAATATTGAAAACAAAATGAAATTATTTAATTTAGTAAAAATAGCTTTTAAAAAAAGTCAAAGATAACAATAATTAAATAATTTTCTTTATTTAAAAATTATTTGAGATATTAAATGAATATAATGCACACAAATTTGTATACAATTTTTTGAGGGTTTTTTCCAGATATGAATAGTGAAAATAAAAATAATGTTGTTGCAGAAGTTGTTTCATCCTTGAATTGATCACACGAATTGTTATTAGTGTAATATTTATTACAAGTTGGTTGTTTACCAGTTGGATGGAAATGTGTGTTGGCTTTAGTTAGATGAATTTGTATATATACAATTTTGAGTTGTAATTTTTAATTAGCCAGGCAACAATATGTGCTGATTTTGTTTGTACCCAAAATTCAGTATGGTATGATCATAATGTTATGACAGGCTGTTGAATACTAAAATAGTTTTTTTTAGTGAACCAAATAATTTTTTTAGGTTAATTATCATTCTATTGACCAGTTTATACATCAAAAAAATATTCGTTTAACATCAAGGCACAATAATAATAAGATATAGGGTTTGAAAAAGGATACAAAAAACCAAATTAGCTGATATGCAAAAAGAGTTGGACGTTTACATATTTTCTTTCATGAATATTTACATTTACATTTTGATTTTTTTTTTTATTATATGACACATGTTAATAATCCGTCACAGGAACATAAGTGATTTTTGAAAATTATCACAATTGAAAATCATTGAAAATCTTATACTAATTTGTAGGGTTCTGTATATTCCCGCAAAAAAGAACCTTTCTGTATATAATATTACCCATAAAAGAATTACGTAGATCGATTTCAGAAAAATAAAAATTTTTTTTTTGAAATTTACCACCCAACGAAAACAAAAAATTCTTTCCCAAAAAATTAGGTTTGAAAAAGATAGAATTTTGCTGTTCATTGATCATGCCTCTCCTCACCTTGCAAAGCATTTCATGCAACGCTTGCAATTGAATATATTAAGAAACGAAACATTTGCCGTTTCGCCAAATATGGTGAAAACGTTGATCGCGCCAAAAGCCGAAAAAACCAAGCGCGGCTAAACGCAAAAGGAGACATTCGGCGAGAAACCTGTACGAAGGTCGCTCGCCTTACTGATTTTGGAAGGTGGTCGTGACACGGCAAATGTTTCGTTTCTTACTTGTGTTAAATTAAATTAAATATATTTAATAAAAAAGGAAATAACATGAATATTAATATGCAATTTTTATCAATTTCGTCAGACAAAAAAAAAATATATTACACATGTATCTATATTGTATTTTTATGAACTTGTTTTTGATGCAAAGTAAGGATAATAAGTGGTGTTATTAGTTAATTAACGGTTGATTTAACTTGTTGTAAAAAACCAAATTTTTAGCTAGTTATCCAGGTCTTCACACAGTCCTTGTCAAATTGTTAACACAATACTTGTCGGTAAAGTGTCCTGTCGGTAAAGTGGGTGTCGGTAAAGTGTCCGGGTCCGTTTCCATATTTGTAATAACTTGCAGATTGGTTAAATAACTGCTCAGCAAAGTTCAAATAATCAGCAAGTTATTTAACTAATTAACAGTTTAAAAGTTCAAAAAGATTTGAACCAGTTAAATTGCCAATACTGCAATTTCTTGTTAGACTATTCATTTTAAATTGAGTTTCCATAAAAAATTTTTTGCCTTTTTTAATAACCTCAAAGTTGCACAAGTTTACTATGTTGATATGTCAGCAAATTTCCTAGAAGTAGATTTTCCATTCATTCTAATCATCAAATAATTTAATTTCTCCAAAGAAAGGTTTTTAATTTTATGATTTGATTTCTATTTTCACACAATCAATGATAATTATACTTATATCAAATATCTGTAATGAAATTCTAGAAAGTTACAAAGCACTATTATTAATAAATATTCAAGTTTTATTATTATCAGGGTTAAAATTTCTTCAATTAATAAAAAATGGATCATTAGTATCAGCAGCTGCTGCAATCACCAGCCAATAGCTGCGACTTTCAACACCTAATTAAATAGGCAAAAATTTTATTCTTATATTTATTTTTTCGCATATATTTGTTTATACGCGTGTCTAATCGTAACTTTGTAGAGAAGGATCTTAGCTTCAAAACTAAGGCTGGCAGCGTAAAGGGATTAAACCCTAATTTAGTAATAATTGTCTTGACTAAAATTGACTTAACATATTAATATGATTAAATAGTTTAGTCAGTTTAGCCAACCCTATGAAAAATAAAATACGAATTAACGTATGTTAAATACGTTTTTAAAAATATATATTTGATATACGGAATTAATATATCTCTTATACGGTTTTGAAAAATTACTCTTTTCAATTTTAGCGTGAAATACGGAATTGATACATACTGAAAAGCCGTATATAATAATAAGGTACATAATTTTTGACATATTAATACTAATATTGGAAAGGTTCTAGTATGTTTTGATTCCGCGTATAAGGTACGTAATGTATAAAATACTGAAAAGAATACATTTGTTTTATTCATTATTATTATAAAACATGTAGTATTTCATCAACAAGCTTACAACTGAGAACGCAATGTGAGCTTCTGCTATGCGAGAACAAAATGCATTTATTTTAAGTTGGGTTTGGATCGTATCTTCTTTGTAGCAAAAAGCAAAAAAAATAACATCATTCAGGCCAAAAAAATAGTCTATTTTATTAAATTCAATACATATAAATATTTCATACAACACCCTCACAACAATATGTATCTTCTACATCATCTTAAACTTTTATTCGAATTTACACAACAAATATATATATTGAATTCATAAATCCGTCCATGACAAATTTATCAAAGGAATATCAGATATAATGAAACTTTAAATTATAATTGTGTTAAAAGCAATAACGGTCTGTATTAATATATATTATGTTGAAGAGAAATGGTTTGAGTAGATGAATAAACAAATGTGAATAATAGAGAAAAAATCTTTCGCAGAATAATTATCGTGACTCATTTCTATTGATAATATGAACAATCAACAATTTAATCACCGAACTAGGAGAATAAATTTCTATATTTAATAGTAAAGCAAATCTTGTCAAACATAAAAAGAACGGTTGAGTGAAAATAAGTAATTATAAAATTATTTTTAGTATACAAAATGAGTGGTAATTTTCATTCTTCAACTTCTACCTATTCTACTACTCCAACAACAACCTTAGCAGTTATAACACGTCGATATTTGTAATTAATTTTTTTTTTACACGTTTTCAATCTTTACTTCCGATACAATATCAAATGTCACCACAATCTCGATTTACTTCTCGGACCACGACCTCAAATTCAAATTCAATCTCAAATCTTTACTTGAAACACAGTCTCAAATTCCATCC